AGAATGGCCCCAAAACTGGTCAAGATATTTATCAACACTTTAAATACCACCTGTCAAGTTTCATCATGATCAGAAATGTCTAAGGCAATGAACACGAAGAAACAATTTCAGCAAAATCGATCTCTAGCACCTTGAAATGGACCCCATAATTAGAGTTATACTTTTGGTGCATCAAACAGCTATGAGACCACTGTCATTAGATTCGGCACGGTTAAAAACCCATATGGGTCAAGTTTCGGCTTAATCGGGGACAAATTTATGGGTAAAAGACTAAAAATGGGTAAGTCACACACTATTCCCGTGTGGCCTTACTACACCAAAACACCATTGAAGGTGGTTGTTTTTACAGTCACGGGCAATCATTTTCGAGGCCTATATCTCAGTCGTTCCAAGTCGAATTGGTCCCAAATTTGGTGAGCGTGTTCGTCTTATCAAGACAAACAATTTGATATGTGGTACGCCCCGTGACGACGCCCATGCAGAGAGAAAAAAGAAATGAAAGTCACCGATCCGTGAAGGAAGTTGCAGAAAATTCAGCAGCAGCAAGCCTCATTCGAGCAATCAGATCACGATGCACGCATACCCGATCGGCACGAAACTAATTGCATTATGTACATGAGGTTCAAGGCTATCTCTGATCCGAACCTCACATACGATGAACGATTGGATTTCACACACGAAGGCGTCAAAGCTGCTGTAAATTTCGACCATCGGACTTCAAGAGTCGGGCCAAAAACTCAAGACAACAAAATCTTCATTCGAACATGAAATCAAGCTACATTCTTTGCAACATGATCATGACAGCATGCTCAGTGTGATTCAATGAGGCAATCATGAAGAAACATCAAGGAACGAGCACACAATCGATCCGAAGTTTTCAAGATTCATCCAATATTTAAGTCTCATGATCATGCCTCGAAAACATAATTCATGGCTCGAAGTTGGTATCAAAACGATCGCCATGTCAAGCCCTATAAGAAAACAATTATCTTTTGATCAAACGGGCATCAAAACGACCATGGGTCAGCCACGGAAGATCACACAAGTTCTCGGGTAGTAGCATGAACTGTTTTGAAATTCCACATATTGTTAAGTAAGGGCAAAACAGTCATTTTGCACCCAGTTTTAGAATTTCTGTAAATTCAATTAAATTGTAATTATCTTCAATTCTAGCTAGTTTTTTGGCATGCACCCATGTTTTAGTCCAATTCTATATAAACATGCAAAGCTAAATTGTAAGGACCTGTGGTTCATTTTTGGATTGATTGAATAAAATTTCCATTCCTACTTGAGTTTGTGAGTACGTCTTGGAGAAAGAGAGAGGAGAGAGAAAAAAATGGTCGATACCCTTTGAACATGTAACTTTCTCTCTCCTCTCCTCTTTCTCTCTCCTCTCTTCTCATCTCTATCTCTTTCTCTCTCCTCCCCTATTTCTCTCTCTTCTTTCTCTCCTCTCTTCTCATCTCTATCTCTTTCTCTCTCCTCCCCTCTTTCTCTCTCTTCTTTCTCACCTCCCTTATCATCTTTCTCTTTCTCTCTCTTCCCCTCTTTTTCTCTCTTCTTTCTCTCTCCTCTCCTATATTTCTCTCTTTTTCTCTCTCCTCTTTTCTCATATATATCTTTTTCTCTCTACTCCACTCTTTCTCTCCTCTTATCTTTCTCTCTCCTCTTTCTCTCTCCTCTCCTTTCTTCTCATCTCTATCTCTCTCTCTTCTTCTCATCTCTATCTCCTTCTCATCTCTATGTCTCTCTCTCTCTTCTTCTCATCGTTATCTCCATCTATCCTCTTTTAATGTAAATGGTGAGGCCTAGCGCTGGTTAGTTTTCTCTTGTCACAATTGACGAGGCTTAACGCCGGTTGGTTTTCTCTTGTCACAACTGACGAGGCTTAGTGCCAGTTGGTTTTCTCCTTCCTTTGTCAGTCGATGAAACCTAGCACCGGTTGGTTTTCTCCTTCCTCTGCCAGTCGATGAAACCTAGCACCGGTTGGTTTTCTCTCTCCTTATGTATGTCAATTGGTGAAACCTAATACCCACTGGTCTTCTCTCTCCTCTTCTATCAATCGATGAGACCTAGCGTCAATTGGTTTTCTCTCTCCCTCTTCTATCAATTGGCGAGACCTAGTGCTGACTGGTTTTCTCTCTCCTTTTCTATCAGATGGTGAAGCCTAGTATCGACTGGTCTTCTCTCTCTTTTGTCAATCGGTGAGACATAGCGCTGACTGGTTTTCTCTCTCTTCCTCTATCAATCGGTGAGACCTAACGTCGACTGATTTTCTCTCTCTTCTTCTATCAGTCGGTGAGACCTAACATCGACTGATTTTCTCTCTCTTCTCTTGTCAATCGATGGAGCCTAGCACCGATTGGTTTTCTCTCTCTTTCTTCTAAACACAGTCGACAATGCTTAACCCCGACTGCGCTTGCCTTCCCTCTCTCTCCTTTATTCTCTCATCTTTCATACTCTTCTCCTCCTTCCTTCTCCCTCCTTCTTTCTTTCCCTTCTTCTCTTCTTATTCTCTCCTCATAACCTTAATTTTGCTACTCTTTCGTTCGACTAAGAGAGATTGAGATTAGCCTCTCATGGTAGTCCCGTCGTCTAGGCGTAATTTTGTTGTGCCAGGGTTACTTGGCCCTCTTTATTGCCACGACAAGCTAACCATCGTGGATAGCTAGTTGGTATTGGTAACGACGTCTAATAGTATTCCTGTGAGCCGGTCTTAGTTACCGAGCCTATTTTACTATCACGTCAGGCCAATTATCCATCAACCTAGTCACCGCTCTGATCCTCTCACTTAGTCGAATTCTTCTCTCCCTCGTCTTTCTTCTCTTCTTCTTTTTGAATGCTCATACTTGTGTACGTTTATTAAAGAGGAAAGGGTGAGGTCTGACCCACCTGTTTTATAACCTTTTCCATATATGTGTGTGATTGCAGAAAAGCAAAAAACAAGAAGAATACAAGCCAAGGGAGGCGATTCCAAACTAGTTTTATTACTAGGGGGACTTTCTTCGTGATTTAAGAGGGCGCCCACATGAGTCAGCCCGAGTAAGTCTCAAACCCACCTTTAAATTCCTCTCTCACCGGTTGATAGCACATGCCCTCGTTTTCGAACAGGGTTCTCGAGAGAGCGATCTCAAAAATGGCCTTCTCTCGAAACTCAAGACGCGTGCCGCCCGTTCCCAAAAGGATCCAGAGGGCGAGATCGAGGCACCTAACTAGTGGCCCCCTCTCTAAACTCAACACTTCACCTTAAATCTCACTTGAAAACTGCTAATGAAATCCAAATAGAATGTACTCCTTTCTAATGTACTTTTTATGGGTGACCGGCTCTAGTTTTGAGCGTAGAATGATTAAAAAGATTAAAAAGATTAAAAAGAGAGGAAGACATAAGAAAATAGGAACGAGTGAATAAAATCTTAGTTTAGAAGTGGGAAGAAGAAGAAGAGAATAAAAAAAGTGAAGGGACGACCCAAAGAAAATTAGGCAGCCTCACGTTATAACCTCTCCTAAGAGGTGTTATCAGAGACAAGGAAAGTATAAGGCTCAAAACGTTGATACCCGAAGGATTTGGAAAGTGGAGTTAGGGGACTGAGCCAATGATTATGTCAATACACCAAAGAGCCCCCTGAAAGTGATCAAGTGAGAAGAAAATGAAAGAGAGAGAACCATTCTATAACCCAAACACTATGAGACTTGGTGGTTAGAGCAGCAAAAGGGTTAGAACTTTAAAGAAAGCTAACTCAGAATGACCTCACCCCAGTGACAGAGTGTAAGATAATCAGTATCTCTTACGACCTGACTTCACTGGATAAGATGGTGGTTAGATTAACAATCCGAGAGTTAGAACCCTAAGGCGTTATCTCAGGACGACCTTGAGTCTAGTGCTCAAGGAGCGAAAGAAGCAACAAGCAAAGCGAGAGATAAGAGAATTATGAAATATGAAAATAAAATAAAACAAATGAGGAATTACAGCTATGATTTAGAGAGAAGAGCGTGAAAGAAGGATTGATGGAATCAAAGAGGTGAATAGGTCATATGGGTAAGAGAGCATATAGGGTGGTGAGGAGATAGGAGCGAATAGAGGCAGTGAGGAGATAGGGGCGGTTAGAGATAATGTGAAGATAGCGGTGGATAGAGGAATTTCAAGAGATAGGGGTGGATGGAGGTTAAAGCATGAGAGGGTGGATGAAGGTGGGAGAGAGAGAGGAGAGGACCCACATATGGTGCAAGTCTATCAAATGGGAGAGACAGAGTAAGAGTGAAAAGGCGGACCTGCCTACGACATGGGTCTATAACCCAAGTGAGAGAGAAAGGGGGAGAAAGAAGGGAAATGAGGGAAGAGAGTGTCGGGCTCATCCTAGGTGTGGGTCTGTGTACTCGAGCATGAGAGAGAGAGGGAGTGGGAAAAGAGAGAGAAGAAGAGAGAGGCTCGGACCTGCCCTGGGTTTGAGCAAAGAAAGAGAAAGGAAGAGAGAGGAAGAAAAGAAAGAAAGAAAAGGAGAAGAGAGAGAAGAAAGGAAAGAAGAGAGAGAGAAGAGAGAAAGATAGGGAGAAGAAAGAAAAGAGAAAGAAGAGAGAAGAGAAGGATGAGAGAGAAAGAATAAAGGAGAGATAAAGAAGAGAAGAGAGAGAAGAGGGAAGAGAGGAGAGAGAGTGGACCTAGGATGAACTTGAGCCGAGGTGCACATCCTTCGATCTCCTTACTTGCAAATGAGAGAGAGAGAGAGAGAGAGAGAGAGAGAGAG